TTATATTTATGCTTGTATCTTATACTTTTTTACATTATCTTATTTCTGATTTTTAACTTTAAAAATTAAATATTTTTGTTATATTTATGCCTGTGTCTTATACTTTTTTACATTATCTTATTTCTGATTTTTAATTTCAAAAAAGTAAATATGGCAATTATTTATTAATACCGGTATCTAATATTGTTTATTTGTTTTTGGTCTCATATTAAACAACATCAACATAAGTCACAACAAAAAGAACAAAATAAGATTGTTTTCAAGCTCGAACTGGTGACCAAATATTTCCGTAACATTCAATGAGAAAATATTTTTTGCAACCTATACAACAAATGAGCATCATCGCCTGTTTTAAAGATGAGAATGTGTAACTTAAGTGTGTCCTAATCTACATCTAAGCTAAGACAAAACACCTGAGCAGGACCGTTAACAATAGATAGAGATGGCGACACATGCAGGCAGGGATTTTTATCATGACGTTTGTTACATATCACTTTGTCCAAATTTGATTTCCATTCAGAAGATCTAAGTGTACTTATGGAATGTTCAAAGTCACTTTTTGGTAAAATAACTCTAATGGTTGAGTATTTAAAGGTTCTTTAGCTAAAGCGTCTATTTTTTATTTTGTAGTATTCCTACGTGGCTTGGTATCAAACATAATTTCACTAACATGGATTTAAAGATAATGAAATCGCAACAATAGTTTCTTTATCCTAATATCAACGGATCGTTGATTTTTAATTGCCAATAGCACAGAGACGAAAGAGGAAACGCTGCTTTATGAAAATCTTTTGAACCCTAATTACTTTTGTCAATTTTGCTTTCACTTGACCACAGGGAGCACAATTATCTTTTTTGACAACCTTCCATTTTTGTTGTAACAATTTCGGGTTAAGGTCAGGGTCTGTATAATTGTTTCCTTGTAAAAATATATCTTATATGAATTCATAAATTCATATGGATTTAAAATTACAGCTATATAAGGATATTAATAGAGTGGTGTGCCGTCAGTTCAGATATACCTTACAAATATCAAAATAATTTTCCAAGTGTCGGTGTGACGTAGATAGTTAAGGGTGTTTTCTGTTAAACGTCTGCTGTACAGTTTTTTCCGCAAAATTCAAGTCTTAAAAGTTTATTTTTTAACTTATTATTATCATTATTATTAACCTGTAAGGATTTTGAAACTGCTCTATTTTTGTTATATTTATGCCTGTATCTTATACTTTTTTACATTATCTTATTTCTGATTTTTAACTTTAAAAATTAAATATTTTTGTTATATTTATGCCTGTGTCTTATACTTTTTTACATTATCTTATTTCTGATTTTTAATTTTAAAAAAGTAAATATGGCAATTATTTATTAATACCGGTATCTAATATTGTTTATTTGTTTTTGGTCTCATATTAAACAACATCAACATAAGTCACAACAAAAAGAACAAAATAAGATTGTTTTCAAGCTCGAACTGGTGACCAAATATTTCCGTAACATTCAATGAGAAAATATTTTTTGCAACCTATACAACAAATGAGCATCATCGCCTGTTTTAAAGATGAGAATGTGTAACTTAAGTGTGTCCTAATCTACATCTAAGCTAAGACAAAACACCTGAGCAGGACCGTTAACAATAGATAGAGATGGCGACACATGCAGGCAGGGATTTTTATCATGACGTTTGTTACATATCACTTTGTCCAAATTTGATTTCCATTCAGAAGATCTAAGTGTACTTATGGAATGTTCAAAGTCACTTTTTGGTAAAATAACTCTAATGGTTGAGTATTTAAAGGTTCTTTAGCTAAAGCGTCTATTTTTTATTTTCTAGTATTCCTACGTGGCTTGGTATCAAACATAATTTCACTAACATAATTTAAAGATAATGAAATCGCAACAATAGTTTCTTTATCCTAATATCAACGGATCGTTGATTTTTAATTGCCAATAGCACAGAGACGAACTGAAATCATTCAAATTTGTTACAATTATGCTGTAAAATGTATGGCTATGCTAATTAAGTGGTGTGCCATAAACAAGTTATAGAAGAAATAAAGCTTCCAGCGAGATCAGTTGTAAAACACCATCCATCACTTATAATCTGGACAACACAATAACACTCGCCGATATTTTCTAAACAAACAAGAGGGCTATGAAGGCCCTTAGGTCACTCACCTGTATAAAGGCACCCGGAGCGGGGCCAGTTTAAACCCCATGGCTTTTATTTGAACAAACTTGGAAGACACCCATTAGAAGATGTTTCACAATGTTAAGTTTTTACTACACACATATAATGAAAAACAACAATCTACCCCTCCCCCCTCCTATCGCCTCCCCCCCCCCCTCCCCGGCAGGGCCAATTTTAACCCAAGGGCTTTTATTTGAACAAACTTGGTAGACACCCATAAGGAGATGTTTCATGTTAAACATCTAAGCTCTAGCTCATTGGGTTGTTTTAAGAAAGATTTTTTAAAGTTTTTACTATACACATATAGTTAAAACCAATGACACCCCTGGGGCCGGGCCAATTTATGACCCTAGGGCTTTTATTTGAACAAACTTGGTAGACAATTACTAGAAGATTTTCATGCTTAATATCTAAACTCTATCTATTTGGGTTTTTTCAAAGAAGATTTTTAAGTTTTTGCTATACAAATATAAAGAAAATCAATAACACCCGGGGCGGGGCCAATTTTGACTTCAGCGCTTTTATTTGAACAAACTTTGTAGACACTCACTAGAACGTGTTCATGCTAAATATCTAAACTCCAGCTATTTGGGTTTTTTCAAAGAAGATTTTTTAAGTTTTTGCTATATACATATAAGGAAAATCAATGACCCCCGGGCGGGGCCAATTTTGACCCCAGGGCTTTTATTTGAACAAACTTGGTAGACACCATTTAGAACATGTTTCATGCTAAATATCTTAGCTCAAGCTCTTTGAGTTCTTTAAAAGAAGATTTTTAAGTTTTTACTATATGCATATAGGGAAAATCAATGACCCCCTGGGGCGGGGCTAATTTTGACCCCAGGGCTTTTATTTGAACAAACTTGGTAGACACCAATTAGAACATGTTTCATGCTAAATATCTTAGCTCTAGCTCTTTGAGTTCTTTTAAAGAAGATTTTTTAAGTTTTTACTATATGCATATAGGGAAAATCAATGACCCCCGGGGGCGGGGCCAATTTTGACCCCAGGGCTTTAATTTGAACAAACTTGGTGGACACTCATTAGGAGATGTTTCATGCTAAATATCTTAGCTCTAGCTCTTTGGGTTCTTTAAAAGAAGATTTTTTAAGTTTTTACTATATGCATATAGGGAAAATCAAAGACCCCCTGGGGCGGGGCCAATATTGACCCAAGGGCTTTTATTTGAACAAACATGGTAGACACTCACTAGGAGATGTTTCATGCTTAATATCTAAACTCTAGCTATTTGGGTTTTTTCAAAGAAGATTTTTTTAATTTTTTGCTATACACATATAAGGAAAATCAATGACCCCCGGGGCGGGGCCAATTTTGACCCCAGGGCTTTTATTTGAACAAACTTGGTAGACACCCATTGGAACATGTTTCATGCTAAAAATCTTAGCTCAAGCTCTTTGAGTTCTTTAAAAAAAATTATTTAAGTTTTTACTATATGCATATAGGGAAAATCAATGACCCCTTGGGGCGGGGCCAATTTTGACCCCAGGGCTTTTATTTGAACAAACTTGGTTTACACTCATTAGAAGATGTTTCATGCTAAATATCTTAGCTCTAGCTCTTTGGGTTCTTTAAAAGAAGATTTTTTAAGTTTTTACTATATGCATATAGGGAAAATCAAAGACCCCCTGGGGCGGGGCCAATTTTGACCCCAGGGCTTTTATTTGAACAAACGTGGTAGACACTCATTAGAAAATGTTTCATGCCGAATATCTTAGCTCTAGCTCTTAGGATTTTTAAAAGAAGATATTTAAAGTTTTTTCTTTCGGTTGCCATGGCAACCAGAGTTCTGCATGGAATTAAATTCTTTGAACAATTTTTAAAGGTGACCACCAAAGGAACATTCCTTTGAAGTTTGGATGAAATTGGCTTATTGGTTTATGAGGAGATGTCATTTAAAGTAAAAGTTTACGGACGGACGGACGGACGACGGACGGACGCCGGACGAAAAGCGATCACAAAAGCTCACCCTGTCACTTTGTGACAGGTGAGCTAAAAACAAAACAAGAACAAAATCAAGAAAAGAATAAACTACAAAAAAAGCAAACAAAGAAACAAAAAAAATTAATGAAAGTAAAAGGCAACATGATGCATAAAAGTTGCTCAAACAACTTAAAGATTGTTTTGGATTTGACGCATGCTTGGCTAACTGTTCTGAGTATGAACTTAATTGTTATCGTTGAAAAAATGTATCTAAAGACATTTAAATGAATGCAAAATGTTAAGCTTAATATTATTGAAATAGAAATAATTTACCTCTAGTTTGTTTGCAGATTGAAGAAATGATAACGTCATTTGATTACGTTTATTTTAAGAGACAACTGTGCCCAAGAAACTGCATTTGTGAAAAAATGCAATGCGGTCGAATTTATACATAATAGTAGGTAGATCTTTTTCTGTTTCTATCAACTGAACTTTGCCGTAATACAATAGCGTCTAGTGATTTATGGGGTCAAGGTCATATTATAACTCGTCAATGGAAAGACAATGTGCAGATTTGGGCAAGTTATTGATACACTCCCAGTTTTTCTTCAAAAGTGTCTTCTTGCAGACGTAAAAAGACAGTTTGCTAAGATATATAACAAATTGTCCGAGGCGAGACTGAATTGTTGTTTGTTTAAGAGAACTGTCTTCTTCTTCACGTCTATAAGAAGAAACTTTTGAAGAAATGACGAGAAACTGTATCTGACTTATACGACGATAAAGTAACAAGATAGATGATTAATAAAGTGAATAATAAATATATCTTATTCAGGAAAAAACGATTCAAAGAGATCAAGATGCAAACACTTACGACCCATCGGCAGTTCTCATACTTGGATCCAATTTAGAATAGCATATCTTGTTTTCGTATTCTTCATTGTCAGATACAATAACCTTAAAAAAGAAGCAACAAAGTTAATGCTGTTTTGGTATTATAATTGTGGTTAACGTTATTCTTAAAATGTTACCTTGATACTTTTGTGTTAGTATGTTTCGAAAAATGAGTTAATGTTTAATATTTAAATTGCATGTATGAGTATACGCAATAATAAAATAGATAAAATATATATCTGAAAGAAGGAAACTGTATGCTATACATAAAATAATATAACAGAATCAATCAGCACGTTTAATATTTAATAATTCAAGTGCAATAGCATGCAAAGCTTATAGATATACCTTAATCAGAGGGAAATTATAATTCCTCCATATCCGATGACCCATTGTATCGGTGGGAAATTGTAATAACAGGTAAAATAATCGTTTGTCGTCATAGTTTATGTCGGTTGTTACTATATCAAAGTTGAACACTGTGTCAGGGTTCCAAATTGATCCCTTTTTCAGCGTCTATTGAAAAGCAAAATTGTAACATACTCATTTATATGCATGATTGACGTATTTGTCTAAAAGCAAGGCTAAAGCCCTGCAAATATATTATATTAAAAGATCGTTTGTCAGACAGAACATATATCAAACATTGACTTTTTATTGATCTTTCTAGGCAATGAATATTACTTTGATAAATGCCATTCTGTTCAAAGCAAATTAAATAAAATGAAACATTATATTTATATAAGTAGAGAAGTGCACCTTCTTTAATTCACTTACATTTGATTTGAATAAGAAAATGATTACAGAGTGTGTACCTGGAAACCATTAGAACATCGTTGGTTTGGTTGAATTAAATGATTTAGTATACCAGCCTTGTTGCATTGAAACGCATCTTGATTAAATATTTGGAATTTCTCAACACATTCTTCGTCTGTATTGATGACGGATGGTTCATTATATCTGCATCCTATTGGTACAGTTGTTGTCATTTGAACCACGGCTGTATCGCCTTTATTAATGTAGATGGTTGTACTGGAAATCTGTTACATTACAAATAAATCTAATAAAATGAGAAAAAATATCAACAAGGCAAGGCACTGGTCACAGAATACAGTATCCGACATGACCAATAATATGATAAACAAGATCAACAAGGTGGCGTTCAATTAACACAACCCCCACAAGACCCAGCAACAAGAACCAGCGACAAGGAGCCCAGGCGAACCGGACCCAAAACAAAAACAGGACCCCAAAATAAGACACATGTCAATGCACTTAGTAGCACACCGAACAGAAAAGGAGGACAAAAATTCAGAAAAAAGATCGGAGGAACGTACCAATTACTCCTTCATATACGGAGATATAAAGATTTTAATTTAAAAAAAGGATATAAAAGAGGAAACAAAAAGGAATGCTACAGGAATTAAGGATTAATTGCAAGAAACAGAACAGGTGTGCGATGTTTAAAAAAGACGAGGGGTTGGAAAGGAAATCTTTACTGGTGACAAAACAAAAACAAGATCACCAAAGAACATATTCCTATACACAACATATCAATATATATATATATATACAACACACCTGGAATGAAACACAAACGGGACAGCTGCATTAGAACGGTCATCAGCAAAACCACTTGTGGGGAGTTTAAACCGATCGCTGGTGCACCGACTTAGCATAAGCTTCTTCCTTTATGACAACATAACGCTTCATCGGGACTAATTTGTCTTATTTGTTGTCTTCTTCTTTGCTTCGTAGGGCATTGTAGTTAATTTTTTATGCTACTCTGTTGTCCTTTTTGAATGCTAATTTGAAAACTCATCTTATATTATTGTAACCATAATAATTGTTTGATATTTCACTTGACGGGGATTCATTTTATTACAATTGTCTCATTTAAAGGAACATGTGGGGGCTAAGAGGGAGGTTTTGTGCACCATTAACCGGTTTAATCTCCCAAGCAGTGATGATATTACTGACTGCACCCAAAGACGGCCCCTTTCTGAGTTTTTCAAATGTCTTTCTTGTTTAATGCCACATACAGTTGTGGTGACACTTTGGTGTCCCTTCTTGTTTTTTCCGTCTATGGTAAGTATCTTCCCTCCCACCCTCTGCTTTTGTTCAATTTTACCCTTCCTGTTACCCGTCCTTCTGACCTCCTTCCCCTACACCATTATCTCTTTATAGGTCTTTTATTTTATTATTATCTTTAGTTACATTTAACGTTTTCCTGATTTCTTATTTTGAAGGTTTGTAATAACATCCTATCAGTTTTTTTTTTTGCCCATGTGCCTTGTACTGTTTGGCGGCCTGCTATACTCCTTGCCGGTGGTGTTGGGGGATGCGTTCATTGTATGCCGCCATTCCTTGTTATTTTTTTTCATATTTCATTATGGGAAATAATAACAAATGGCCAATTTTATGAGTTCAAAAACGTTTCAATATCGATGCATTACGAAAATCATGGACCTTTTTTGGAATCAAAATCTTTATAATTATATTCTATGGAATAATATCTGAATATGTAACATATGATTAAATTTGGTATATCAGTTAATATTAAAAAAGCATATACATTCAGTAACAATGACTTGAATAAAATGGAAAATGACCTCTATATAATTTTTTTTTGCGCATGAATAGTGTTATTTGCTCACCGATTATAACTAAAAATCAACTTTATGCTAAGCAATGTAAAACATTGTTTCAAAGATAATTAAGACTTGTTCAGATTTCTCAATAGTGAGATACTGTCCGTTTTATATAATATATATATATAATAACTCACTCTATGATGTTTGTTTTTTGTTTTTTTAATTCAGTATTAACTGTTCTGTTGAACACAGATATATAGTGGATAAATTCATATCTGGAGAAACTATAATGACCGAGTAACTTCACAAATTAAATATTATTTGCAATGTGAGAGCGGAGAATACATTGTATGTAATTGCTGGTATATGATAAGAGTCAATTTTTAAGAAAGCATACACAATGTTTTTTATCTTTGAAACAATACACTTACTTTTATACCCGCGTAATAGCTTTTACTAAACACCGTATCTGTTACCCCGGCATCCATACCATCAGAAGTTAGAGCACTGACGCCACAATAAATCTTGAGCGAAGAGAAATGTCAAAAAACATCATCAATAAACAGAATATAATTATTTTTATTATGTTTAATAGTTATAACAACCGTTCAACGACCCAGTACATTAAATGAAAAATCACATAAATTATTTCAAGCGTTTTGTCTGAAAAGAAATGTTGACTATATATCTGGTACCCAAATGTCATTTTAAAAAGTTGATGTGCGTCTAATTAGTATTTTCAAAACAATTCATTCTACGTTATAATTGCAATATACTTAAATACAACAAACTCGTAATTTAAAACGTACACTTTGTAAATGTATTCTAAGTGGTATATGATGGTAATAGTGACTCCAAATGCTTTCCAACTCTCAACAATGGCACTGTTTGTCCTTGTCCATGTTTTGACTATTCTTTTCATTATTTAAAATGCATGAAATATAAATGAATTCAATATAGATAAGTTGTTTGAAGAAAATTGGCACAAGAGCTTTCCGAGGGGTAGCGTGCTTCACTTTTCAAGTCGTGGAACGTATGATGAAAGCACAGTAGAAAATTAGACATCTTGAACTATGTAAATTATAAAAATTGCACAAAGAATCCTCCCGTAATAGTGAACAAGTTTATAAAGTTTAAAGTCAAAGTATGTGACGGCTTTTGAGCAAATCAATGAATGATAAACACAATGCAGGTATATAATACAGCAAAGTTACTTTCAGGGTTACATGTCTCTTAGAAATCCAATAAAATATTGTCAATGAACAAGTTTTCCGAGCTTATAGTGAATATCTTTGAAAGTTCTTGAGAAATTAACCTTAACAAGAAGGTCAGCAAGGGCAATACATCTCAATCTGAGCATCACAACCTTTATTCATAATCAGCTCAGTCTTCAAACGGACAACAAATACAAGGGATGATAAAAAAATAACCCGGACTGTGGCTGTCAATTGAAGAATTTCGACCTAACACTTGTTGTTATATATCACACTTAATTGGAAAGCAATATCTATTAACTGATACTATATCTAATCTGATAACGCAAATAGATTGTCCGTAACAGCGAATTTAAAAAATATTGTAACTCACAACCGGCGCAATGCGTAAATTTGCGCTGATGACAGGCTTTACAAGATACGTATATTTTACAGTATTGCACATTTAGATTTCAAAATGTACCAAAACGTCATGAGTCATGTCTATGACGTTGGCAGAAAATATGATTTCAATTAAACCACATATGCTTTGGCAGTCATAATTAAAAAAAACACTTGTAAAAGTAATAGCGCGTTCAAACTGATGTCGTCAGTACGTCCCAGAATTTGATCAATTAAAATATATTGTCAAAAGCAAAGCGAGAAACCGTATAAAACATACAATCGGATAATGGCTATCAAGGAAAAAGGTTAGTTAAGGAAGAGACTGAAAGAAGAAAGTTATAAGGACGTTGGTGACGTCAATCGTCGAGACGTAAGAAAATGATGTTCGACATAAGCTACGGGACGGTGCAGTCAATTTTAACTCAGGATTATAAACTGAGAAGGGTCAGTATATAATTGATATTATGTTTCCTTTGAAATCGTATTCATTATTTTCCTGGTCTACGTGTTAATGTTCTTATGGTTAAAGGAGGAGGTTTATTTATCAAGAATTTTGACAGAATTATGCCCCCTTTTCGACTTAGAATTTACGTTAAAATGTGTGTACTACCTCAAATATTTTCAAAGTCCATTTGCATATGGCTTTGAAACTTTGCACACTTATTCACCATTATGACCCAAACCTTTAGACAGGAGGAGGTAACTCTCGCGAGCATTTTGACAGAAAAATGCCCCCTTTTCGGCTCAAAATGTATGTTAAAGTTTGTTTTACACCTCAAATATTTTCAAAGTCCATTGACATATGAAACTTCGTACACTTAATCACCATCATGCCACCAATCTATAGACAGGAGGAGGTAACTCTATCAAGCCTTTTGACAGAGTTAAGCCCCTTTTCTCGACTTAGAATTTACGTGAAAGTATGCGTACCACTTCAGATATTTTCATATTTTCATAGGCCTTGGAGAGGCATATAACTGTAACATGGATTTTTAAAAAAAACATTGGTTCTTTTGTGAACTCAGAAAATTTTACATTATCAAGACTCTTTTACTATCAAGCACTGAGAATAGTCGAGCGTGCTGTATTACTAATAGTTCTTGTTAGTTAACAATGTGCACTTAAATTGATTTTCAGACCATTTTTTTTCTTTTATGTGACATAAAGTTTGTGCATTTCTAAACATCAATAAGACGTACTAAAAGGATTTGATAATTTAAGATTTTCAGGTTTGTTTGAATATAGTATTCATGCATATTGTGTCCGCATATCATGCATTCTACCCATTTCCTATAGACTTTCTATATGTATAAAACAACTGTGGTAAACTGTGGTAAACATTAACGTGGGAAATATGTTTTCCTGAGATAGTAATGAGAAATGATAAACGAGACGAGAAAGGTTCAACACTTGTGAATCCGTAGAAACAAACATCATTATTGTAGAGTATGAGAGAAGTACACAAGTATTTTATTTATTTCTTAAAACCGTTACTTACAGTGAAGCCCATGTCTATCGAATTGTCCTCAAGTACGCTCTCGTGAAAAAGCAGCTCATTTATTTCTGTTGTTGGACCATATGAAACAAGAAGGTCCCCGTTGACATACCTATAATTTATATGAACGAAGAAGCTGTATTGACATTGAAAAATATCCCTTGATAAACTTTTCTGATTCTGATAAAATGCTTAAGTATGTCTTCGGTCATCATCGCATTCTTTAATGATTGAAAAAGGGAGACACATAGGTATTGATAGAAATAAAAGATTTTGTTTCGTTTGTGAAATGAAAAAAAATGACTTTCATTTTATTTTAGTTTGTCCAACTTATAGTCATCTAAGAGAAAGTTGTATTAATAAAAAATATTATAATAATCCAATTTTGAACAAATTTCATGTATTAATGTCATCCAAAAAATAAGAGACAATATAATGTTTAGCTATGTTTATTTATTATGCTCTAAAGCTGAGGTCATCATAAGTGCAGTGTTAACATGTTGATTAATTTTATATGTCTATTAGTTATAGCAACAATCTAGATTATCTAGATTTAATACTTGAAGGTTATCTCCCTTATTTAAGGGCATATTTGAAATAATCTCATTTTGTTCCTGTTTTTCTTGTTTTTCGTTTCTTCAAGATGCAGGAACAGGCAAATTAAATAGTAACTCTTTATAATTTGCATTTATAAAACTTCTTACATACTTGTTTATATATGTTAATATGTTGATTACTGTAGATTTTCACCGTATGTGTGATTTTGTGTAATAATATGTAAATATGTTTTGTGTTAATTGTGATTTATAGGTCGTGCTTGTTATGTTAATTACTGTAGATTTCCACCATTTTTGTGATTATGTGTTATAATAATTATGTAAAAATGTTTTGTGTTTACTGTGATGTATGGGCTGGTGGTCTGAATCATCTTAATAAAGAATTTAAAGTTTCGCAAGTATGATTATATATTGAAAAAGCAAAAATGTAGGTGTTAACTGAAACGCAAGACAGCAGCTTGAAACTCATACAAATATTGATTTACAATCAACCTCTTGTATTAATTAAGCGTATTAATAATAGTTATTTTGCTTGCTTGTTGAATCACTGCCTTAAAAAACACTCTCACTTTATAGTTTTATCTTCACAATAAAACATATGTATCTAAATCAAAACCTCAAAAACAAACCTAAGGGTTACTTTCAGGGAAAGGAATTTTATTCAGTCGCCATGATTCCTTACAAGACCTCTTTTTGAATATTGACTTCGTTACAATAATTAATCATTAAACACTCGTCGGAACTTACCAGTTGACTTTATACAAATAGCCTTCTTGTACGTTGAATGAACATTTGAACTGAAAATATGGGTTAAAATTGACAGTTTCTCCAGCTAGAGGTGAGGTTTTTTCTGTGAATTTTAGCTCTGGTGCAATTCCAATGTCTCCAAGATTAACATCAGCAATATTATGGGTATTGAAAAGTTTGGAGTAATTTCCTGGAAAAAACCAAACTATATTTGAATCTATAATGTGTTTCAATGTGTCATACAAAGGTTCATAAAAAACTTAATGTATGATTAGACTGCTTACTGGACCATTAAACCTCAGAAATTCTTGTATTTTTATTTTTCAAAAGATTATATTTTTTATATACTTTTATTACTACTTACAGTTATTCAGTGGCTTTTAACCATAACACTCTTTTTCCTCTTTCATTTTGGTCTGTGTTTGGAGGTCAAATATGACTTTGTTTACATTTTCTAACTTTAATAACAAACATTTTGTGCCACTTGATTTAACATCATCTTTAAACAAGCTTTAAAACTGTTATTTAAATGTTTTAAAAATCATGGTTTCTGTCCTGTATAAAGAAGTAAAATTGTAATCGATGCTGAGGCATACAGTGCCTTTCAAGCATAATCGTTATAATGAGATAAATTGTGGGTCAAATTCGCAAGCTCCATAACTTTTGCGCCCATAGACAATACACATATATTTGCACATTTATACGCATGGTCTACATGGTATGTTCTTTAAAGATATTCATTTAAAGTGTTAACATGTTTTATCAATTTAAATGAGAGTATAAACAATTTACTGAAACAGAATGCACTGGAGGCCTTTGTTGGAGGCAGATAATACTGTATTTCATCTCCACATTTCCTTATCTTCACTTGATGCTTGATATCACAGGGATAAAAATAATCACGTTTGCAGGCCACAACATCTACAGGTACTTCGTTTAATGTATTAACCGGTGGATGTTTATCTACAAGGAAGAATTGTAGTTACATTATATATGCACGAAAATTGTGCTTAAATCTGCTTGCTCTAAGATTTTGCTTATTTTCTATTTATAAGCTAGGTAATAAACATCATTATTAAGTTAAAGAGTATCACAACAATGAACGTAGAATTTAAAAACATGTAGCTGCAAAAGTTTACGTATATTATTTCTTGCGAGATATACCTCTTAAGTAAACTGGATAGTATGTAGAACAGTTGGTATAGTAGGGCTTATCCGTCGAGTCAATCATTATAAATTGCCATCCATTATGTACAACACTGTACCACTCATAGTTCAGATTATTATCACTGATGCCAGGATTTCCATTCTCTCCCAGAAGCCTACTTGGTTGACGAAGCGGCATGTTGGATAGTGCTGTCAGATTGTCAGAACAGGTGCCTTCTGTCATGGCTTTAAATAATAGAAATACAAATTTTCATAGTTCTGGACCTCATATTGCATATTTTAATTTATAAGGTTATAAGGTTATTGTTTTGGTTAAAAAAATGCATCAGGTAAAGTTAAATACAATTTAGTTGTACATTTAACTCTTTAAAAAATTAGGTTTCATAACCAACAACATAGCTGAAGGTATGCTGCTTTGAGGTCAACTTTTTTTTGACTTTTTTCTAAAAGCAAACAAATAAACGGTTTGGTCACAAGTGTTGTTTTGTCCACAGATGAATCAAATCCGTACATAAATAACAAAATTATGGCAATTTCACCAAAATTCAATAATTTGACCATGACTGCAAAGGTCCTTTGAAGCTGAAGGTCAAGGTCAGATCAACCTTTAGAAGGTCTTGTCAGAAATGTTGTTTTGGATAGTCCATTGATTAATTATTAAGTAAAAGTCAATCATTTTGTCTTCAAAATCAGGGTCATAAAGCGAGCCGAGGTCAATCAATCAATAATAACAAAGTTATAGGCAGTTACAGCGAAAAATGAAAAATGAAAAAAAAAAAAAAACACAATAATTTGACCGACATGGTCAATGTCTATTTTGAGTAAAGGTCAAAAAAGGTCTTGGTTAACTTTCAGGTCTATTCTTAAAGATCATTATGCTCAAGTTTGAAGACAATCCATACATAAATTACAAAGTTGTAGCCACTAACAGCAAAATATAGACATGAGAAATCGACTTTGTACGAACAATATGTGGACCAAACAATATATACGTAATGATAATACATTAAATATATATATTTAAAGTAGTTGAACAAAGCGCAAATTTTATTTATCTTATTGTTAACGCCACGGCTGTAAGGCGCATGCATGCAAGTTTCTTGTACCCCCACCCCTTAATTCTCTTTAATCAAAAAATCAAAAATATAGATATGAATTAAATGATTGAAAAAGTAAAATGATGAATATCATTTAAATATATCACAGATCAATAGAAAAATATCTACTGGTTACCCCTTAAAAATGCTATATATTACAATAACTAGGTCTCCAACTCTTACTCGTTGTTCCGTTTAAATTTGCACTCGTTTATCTTCGGTTTTCTTAACTACCTGGTTTAATTTAGAGATTTCAAGCTTTTTTGTTGCAAATGTTATGAAAATAAAAATACACTTAAAGGCAACAGCATTATCATTACTATTATCTTGGGTTTTTTATAAAGATATTTGATGTTGAAGTGTCCGATAATGTCCCTCAAAGAAGATCTGGTTGCATTTTTGTTGACGGAACACCAGTCAGTGATAAATGCATTATTCCCAGTTACCGGTGTTAAATGTTAATGAAAATGGATCAATATTAAAATCGAATACTCCAAATAGTATATACATTTAACTATTACGAATTAAAAAAAACAACCGTAAATTCAAACCCGGAAGTAGACAAGTAAGGTAATGTTATATGTTTAATTAATATTACCTTTATTTCAACTTAAATATTCAATATTACCATTATACTTATTACTTGTAAATATACTCATAATTATGTCTATTATATATATTTAGAATTCACTCTTTGTTAAATTGAAATTCGGATTGTATTTTGGGCTGAAGGCCTTATATTACTAATAAACTCATTGTCATTGTCATTGTCATTGTAAGACACGGATGATATGAAAAAACTGCGTTAAAACCTGTGGAAAAACGAAGAACCAAGGTCCCTTAAATACAATATTAAAACGGCACATATATCAAAGTTATAAACTTATGTTTTTGCAGTTTTGTGCTAACCTTACCTTTTAATTTTCAACTGATATATTAAAGATATTTTATCAAAACATTATATATATGAATCAGAATTTACACTAAACAAAAGTTTAATAAAGACCCTTTACTTTTTACAGAATAGCCAAAGTACTGTTTGTGGTATTATATAATGTTAGTATTGACATGAAAGTGTAAAAATCCATTATATTGCCACAATATTCAATTTTTGTATACTATACAAAAACGCAGTGTCGCAAGGTTGATATTTTGTTTGTCTCATTTCAGTAATAATTTGTGAGTTTGGGTTAAACGGATTATTGATACATAACTAAGCATATCACGACGAAAATTATAATTTTTAACATAAGATTAAATTTATAAGGTTAAAAAAGAGTTAAATCTTAGAATACAGGTTTATTTCTTTTAAGTAGTCGATCAATTTTTCGGAGGGAACGAAGTCATAACGTTCTGAAATATAAAGGGGACATTACTGTTACCTCTCCTTTTAAACTTGAACAAGTTTGAAGTGATTTACTTTTGATAGTATTTGAGAAATTGACATTAGAAGCAAAAAAAAATAATTATGGAAGGAGCATGAAATTACAAAAATGAACTTTAGGATTACCTGTCCTTTGAAATGGTGACAATATTTGGTTGTGAACTATACGAGTATATCGAAGTTGAAATAAATAACTTTGATAGTGTGTGATAAAATAGATCTAACAATTTGGCTTAACAGGGCAAAATGTTAAGTTGAAAAAGTAAAACAACCTTGCACAAAATGATTTTATGATTATCTTATCTTTTGAAACGTCTTCCTTTTGTGACAACTGACATATTAGCCAAACTTGAAAGAAATTCTCTGTTTGATTAGCATGTTTGAATGGAAATATATAATAATTTTTAATGAATTTTGACTTTATAAGTCTGCAATTTTCATGTAATTTTGCTGTTTTTAATGCTTACACATATCGGCCTTTATGATTATATTTCTATGCATTTTAACTAAAACTGTGCATTGTTCTTCAACAATGCATTCAAAATTTAAAATATATACTTCCTTAATATAACCCTTTTCAGTAGTATAGTCGGGCGTGCGATATACTTAACGAAAACGGGTTGAATATCAACAAAAACAGACTTAAAATTGATATAGTATAGTTGTTTTAATCACTACCTTAAACCGTGTAAATCATCGCCGAGAGTTTTTAACTATAAAGTAATCTTAGGGAATAGGATTTATTTTGCTAACAAATTATATATTTTTGATATAAGGCAATTTAATTTTTGTATCATTATATAATGTGTTTAGATAATTCAAATTCAAAGTTGTGGTTGCAAATAGTTATACAGTACTCTCAGTAGAGTTAGTCCAACAAATTTACTACGAGTTGATTTATTGTATTATTTTATGTATGGACAATATTTTCCCTTGTCGACGTTGAAGCGATATTCAAACCCAGAAAAAAGCTTTGGATTTTGAAATACTTTGACTATCAGAAGGTTCTGAATCACCAGACAAGTGTTCATAACTTAAATCAGTTTCCTGTCGAATGCCGTCTAAAATCAGTTTAACTTCCTCTAAAATTTCCAGCGAAGAATTAAAGACGAATGTTCATTGGTCATTTTGCAAGTAAAACCACCAAGGAAAACTCACTAAGATATACGCAAAATGCTTTTTAGTTATTGACAGATGTACATGTATACAGAAAGACATTAAAACAAAACTTTGGAATTCAATCCATTTGTTAAGTATCCGAGTGGTATATCCAGAAAGCCCATTTTATAAGTTCTTTCTAAGGATGTGTAACTTTATCAATAAGCATAAAAGAGAAATCCTGGATAGTATGTCCTTGGGTATTAAAATGTTCAGAAACATTTGTAGTTGTTTCAGTTGGGAACATCGTTGACTAGTTTGTCCAACATTGTATTGTTTTGAAAATTGTTTACATGTAATCAAGTTTATAACATCAGATGATTTTACATGACATATCATACATTATATCATAACAAATGGAATGAATTCCAAAGCTTTGTTTTAATGTGTCTCTCTATACATCTGTCAATTATTTAGAAGTATGTTGTATAATTTTAGTCAGTTTTACAGGTATTTTTACCTCATTTTTTTGCAATTTAACTGCTTTTTTCACTAGTACAATGCATTTTAATTATTAAGTACCTACTGAGTTTATTTTACACAAGCACTTACTTAGTTAAAAATTTTGTCCAAAATAACGAGACCACTAATTACATTCACAGTCCTGTAAGTTTACTTATGCACTCGAAAATGTCGAAAATCACACTACCATAAAAGAAATCCGAACTTATGAGGTACCCTCAGTTTATGATGTTCTATAAGAAGTGTCCAATATATAATATGATCATTGGTATGCGACAGAAAGAAAAGGATAATAAATTCTGAAATTATAAACATATCAATTGAACACATAAACTTATTGAACATCATAACCTAAGGGTACCTAGTAATTTTTATATTTTAGTGTGTTTTTCGATATTTTCAGGTAACTTTGGTACACTTACAGGATAATGAATGTTATTGGTGGTCTCCTAACAATTTTTATATCTCAGTGAGTTATAAAATAAATTTAGTACGTTCTTATGTAAAATAAACTGTTCACTAGAATTAAACTACAAAGTTAAGGAACTATCCTGTACATTTTAATTTAGAGCTATCCTTTACATTTTATTTTATAATGGAAAGAACTATCCTGTACATTTTATTTTAGAGTATTTACATTAATGTCAAATGATTAGTACTATTCTGTCCCTTTTTATAGATGATGCACTGTTTCTAATTTCTTTCCTATTTCGTAAATTGCTCTTCTTTTTAATTGAAAATAAATCTCTCTTTCTATAAACAATGGTATAAATAACATGAAATAGATGCACATTAATACCGCTGTAACCTAACTTAAATGTTTAACAAGTAACAGAGAGAGCATCAAAACACGAGGCTATCTTATTTGTAGGAGGGGGTATCATAGGCAAAAATCAAAACACTTTCCCTATCGGAAAACATAAACCAATGTACGAGCATTTGAATATGATGTTTCTATCTTTATCCCTTTTCGTGTCATCATAAAAACGTAAACCCAAAACATAATGTAGCCAATCAACGAACATGCTCTATATTATCCCCTAGTGAAGTAACTGGAATGCAGCTAACGCACTATGCATTTACGGGTATACGATTTAACTCTGTAATGTATTCAAAAGAACGGCCTCAAAAATATAATACAATTATAATTGTTTATGAGAATCTGACAAAAATACAAAGGTCAAAATATATTTTTGTCAATTCTCTTTCTCGTGGCATTTAAATGGCAATAGATCTTTAGCCTTTGTAATACAATAATGCACGTTTATCGTTCATATGCTTAGGAAATAGATATCAATTCTGAGTGCATTAATGCACGTTATTCGTTAAAATGCGTAGTAATATAATCACGAAGGCCGATAATCACTCAGAATTTATCTATTTCCATTCTAACACGTCAAGAAAAATTATGATTATCATTATAAAGTTGGACTTTATGTTTGGTGGTTAAATTTGTTTTCGCCTGAGAGTTTCCAATAGAAACGTTCTTTAAAGGCTGTCGTTAAATCTGCCGTGTGCAGAAAAACATTTTAAGAATAACGAATTTTGAAAACGTTGATAAAACTTTGTTTGTTTATTTTATTTCACTCTATAATTTTTCAAGCGAAATACAAATTATTAAAATTGAAATAAATGTAAAACTTAACTCGTTTGCGACATTAAAATTGCGTACTTGATTTGATTGTTTTGCACGTGCTGTTTGGCGCTATATTGTGACGTCATGTAACAACACTTTAAACGTCTGTATAGCGTTAACGACTGAATTAAAGATATTGGTGTGCGGATTCATTTTCTTAGTTACACCATTTTCTTTCATTGTAGATAGTTTGCACAACAAAATTCGACAAAAAATTGTCTTTTATTTATCAGATTTTTCAAACAAAATGGCGCCCTCAATGTGAAAATACACAGGGAGATAATAAGAACGGCGAGTGCATTGTTGCAGAATAATGCACGCTTCGGGCCTTCTTTGTTTATATAGAAACAATTTCCGATAGTGTTAGAATTTGTAATAAATCTCTAATGCCTATATTTCCTTTGTACTCAATTCTCCAAAAATACATTCTAAATTGATATAAATATATTTACTAAATATAAGAAACTACATTTTTAAATGTAACACAGGAAAAACATGCACATTAAATACATAATTAAAAGCCATTGTCTTACCTGTAAAAAGTCCAATCCAAAGAACAAACAGATCAACAAACACATACATATTTCACAGTAAATGTCTATTTGTAATTGTTCCTTCCGAAATTACAAATCTTTTTTACACATTCTGATATATTTAACTAACAAAATGGTGATACGTATATGACAAATGCACAAAATAACCGGTTATTAAGAAGCGTTATTGTACAATGTGATCTAACATTAGGTAATTTCAAGAAGATATGAGATTAATATATTTATCCTGTTTGACAAACATTAACCAATGTGAATCAGTCTTAGCTATTCTAAAACATAATAATACGATAATAAATATCGCCTTTCAAAAAAATATATAATCATTGATTGTACTGCGATTTCAACGCCACATCGATTAGGAAAAAAATTATTGCCAATTAACTGTCAAACACCGTTTAAACTATAATATTAGAAACTTGTTACAACTAATTTCTAAATATAAGTTTAATATCTTTTAACCTAATCCTACAGCCAAAACATGCATAAATTCAAACAGTATGTTAGCTTACCAGACTTTTGTATTCTCACCAGATATTATTTTATGTATAATAAGATAAGATTCCAATTTTGTTTAAAGTTCGCTTTTGTCAGTTGTTAAGGGAATACTAGAATTGATAGGCTTTTACAGAGGTGAAATGTCATTCAAATAGGATGATATATTTTCGGTTGAGTTTTACGCCAAACCAACATATAAGAGATTTTGTGGTGACTTTTACAGCTTTATTTGTGCCGTGCATTATTTCAGGCACGGGCGGGTACTTAAATAGAGGCACCGACTTCCGTAAGCTTGCCTGATAGCTTCCTCACATTCAAAAAATGTTGGTGGGATCCGAAACCACAGCGGTAACAGGCAAGTGGTTTGAAGTCAAGAACCACTCGGCCAGAGACGTCCTTCAATTACCTACCTATTTTTTGCCGAAAGTCATGAAAACAACGTAAATATTTCAAATAATATGACTCAAAAGAATCAATTGTGGCTTATCAATATCATAACCTTACATTTAAAGTGGCGTGTGTAATTTTGAAACATTTCTTTACCAAGATATTTCTTCATTTTTTAAGTTTGATTATATCAAAAACAAAGACGATGTAGTCATATATTATATATCGTTAGTGTTGTATTTATGATTAATTATGAATTAATTTGTCGTTTTTTTCTGTTTTGTATTACATTCTTACACTATCGGATTTTTTTCTATATAAACAAAGAAGGCCAGAAGCGTGCATTATTCTACAACAATGCACTCGCCGTTCTTATTATCTCCTTGTATATTTTCAAGCAGACACATTGTTTGAATACAAAACAGTTTTTTCTCGAATTTTGTTTTGAAAACTATCATGAATGAAAGAAAATGGTCTAACTAAGAAAATGAATCCGAACACCAATATCTTTAATTCGGTCGTTAACGCTGTATAAACGTTTAAAGTGTTGTTTACCTGACGTCACAATGTAGCGCCAAACAGCACGTACAAAAACAATCAAAACAAGAACACTTTTTCAAGATCGCAAACCAGTGGATTTTCACATTTATTTACTATAAATACTCTATTTTTGCTTGCAAAATCTAAAGTGAAATAAAATAGACACAACAAAAGTTATCAACGTTTTCAAAATTTAAAATGTTTCTGCAAACGGTACACTTAACGACCGTTTATTTTCAACCGACCGGAACAGCCTTAAAAAAACGTTTCTATTGGAAACTCTGAGGCGAAAAAAATTCCACCACCAAACATATAGTCCAACTATATATTTTCCTTGACGTGTTAGAATGGAAATATGTATATCAATTTTTCGTGCATTGTATTATAATAATGCACGGTTTTCGTTCAAATGCTTTGTAATTAATCACTCAGGCCTATCGGCCTTCGTGATTATATTCCTCCTTATATAACTCAAACCGTGCATTATTCTACAACAATGCACTCATAATTGATATCTATTTCCTAAATAAACTAAGCTGGGAGAAAATTTGAATTCATGGAAAATTGTAATCATTGTTTTTCTTTATCAGTATGTTAAATAACCTTGAACTTCTTTACCAACACAATGATATTTCACCGACATAATAATACTTAACTGCTGTTTGACATGGATTTTGTTTTGCAATATGATCAGGTTTTATTGACAGCAAATTGAATTTCCATGATACTGCATATACAAAAATGTTTGCATTGAAAGAAAATCAGTTTCTTTTTTTAATAATTAAGCTATTCGCCTTTATGTAAATTTAACCACTCAATTAATTTAACCACGCCAACATTGAATTGTATTCAATGCTGTCATACGAATTTTTGCCCACATGAAAGTTTTGAAAAATAATTAACCTAGTTTATAAAAGGGAAATTCCCTCTGATATCCGCTAAATCAGGCGGGTATGTCGTGCGATATTTATAACAGTCACATGTAAGTATTTTGATATAAGGTATCTTTTACACAAAGAACATTCCAATGACAGCTCAAAAGAAACAAAAGATCGGTATTGAATGAATGCTTCAATGTCGGTTTAGTTTTTGGAATTCATAAAAAGAACTTTATAAGGATTATTTTGATCACCGAAATTTGGATATAAAAAGTTAATTGTCCCTTCTTAACTTCAAATTTGCTTTTTAATATGCAGTCATTGAAAGTTTCTTACAAATAGGAGCGTCAGAGAATATAATGTTATAATAATAAAATGTCTCCCGCCGAGAGTTACCTATTTATCTTTTTCAATAGAATTTGATGAAAAGAATAGAATATAAAAAAGGATAAAGCTATAAATTGTCACAAGTGCCTAATATGTACCTCAAGAGTGGTACAAAAACATATTATTTAATCAGAAGATTTATAGACATCGGAGATGTAATGAATGTAACGGACGCTACAAGAGAAGTTATAAGTGACGCACGACACGTCAGATATCGAAGAAACTCCCAGTGACGTCGCTGACATCAGGAAACACCATCTTGACCTGGAGCGCTGACAGTCGGGTGGCATTGCCTTATGTGCCGTCAAATACAGACAGTTTGTCATACGCGGTTGACATTTCATGTACAAGGGGTATTAAATTGCCGTTTCCGGTTATGCAATTTTTATGAATTGTGTTTGCCTTAGAAAAAAGTTTTAAGTACAGTCTTCGAATATAAAGAACGCGCCCCGGCATATTTTGCTTAAACATGTACAAAAGTTTAAGAGTTTTTTTTTCAGAATATATCCCGTCAGTAGCTCACAGCTCTAATTGCAATAGATCTAAGTGCAGCTTTCGACACCGTTGACCACAACATTCTACTCGACGTGTTACACAGTCAGTACGGTGTCAATGGTACCGTGTTAGCTTGGGTGGACTCGTACCTGCGACCTCGTAGTTGTCGCGTCAGTGTTAATTCTACTGAATCGACTCCACGATTGCTGGAATGCAGTGTACCTCAGGGGAGCTGTCTTGGTCCGTGGCTCTATCTCACATATGCGGGAACCCTATTTGATGTGATACCACCATCCATATCTGTGTACGGCTTTGCTGATGACCACATTGCTAGTCAACGCTTTTCGACCAACTTCAGTGACCAATGAACTTACGCTATAAAGCAACTTTGAAGACAGTGCTGTAATCATCAATGACTGGATGAATGCCAATAAACTCAAAATGAACACCACTAAGACAGAATTCATTATGTTGGTAGTAAAAGCCCAACTTGGTAAAATGTTTCAATATAAAGGAAATTCATATCGCCGGTGAAAAATTCAAAATGTCAGTGTCATAAGATACTTAGGTGCCTACTTAGGGACGAGGGCCTTAAGATTCTCAACACATGTTTTAAGACCCAAGTGTAGAACTGCTATCGTTAAATTATTTGAGAATAAAGAGGCATTCGCAATATCTGAACTCAGGGACGCTCACCAAAAAATCCTTAGTATTGTCGCTTGTTAATCTCACATTTGGATTATTGCAACGCTATATTGTTATTGGCATTTTCAGAAAGTTTGAAGTTACAGAACATTACAGCGATATCCAGAATATGTCGCTAAACTTGTTTTGCAAACGCGGAAATATGATAAGTTCCAAAGACTTTTGTTGGAACTGCTTGGTTTACCAATTAAAGCTAGGATCAATTTTAAAATACTATGTACAATGTATAACTGTTTTATGGGCAATGCTCCGGTTTATCTAACAAGAACTGTTACACAAGCCTGCTCATAAAAAGACAAATCTCAGATCTGTCGATAATATGGATTATTGTTTTGCTGTCCCCTTTAACAAAAAAAAACATTTAACGACAGAAGTTTTAGTACCGTTGGTCCAACTCTCTGGAATAAATTGCCTCTGTATATAAGACAGTTCTTCGACTTTGGATGTTAAGAAAAATGTCAAAACCTTCTATTTTAGAGATTTTACGCATTGTTTTATAGATTGTGATTGGGCTGTAAACTGATAGAGATGTGGAAAATGTGTTTGAAAATTTTTACTGAAAAACCATTAAATTTTTTTTTCTTTTAAATTATTTTTTATTGTTATTTTTTATAACTATTTCCTTCTTTTTTTTTAAAGTTTTTAATACTTTATATTTTACACGGCTGATATCTTTAACGTATTTTTTGTAGTTCATTTGCCATGCATATGTGTTGTTTTTTTATCTATATGTACATACTTTTATTATCCTTTTGTACAACGCCATTGAATATGTATATAGAAATAGGCGTTTAATTAAATAGAACAGTTTCAGTTTCAGTAATCACATGCATGCGTATACTGTACATATAACAAAAAATCATATAATGTAGCCGAATGGTCAATGTCAAAACTTCATAAAACACATATCATTATTTACAGAATATTTCTAGTAATAAGAACACGTAAACTACATGTACTCATAACTTATCGCCATGACCCAATGTATATAGAGTTTTACCCTTGCCCGAGGAGCGGATAGCAACTGCTGAGATACTGCTCCGATTGTCTCTCAGGCAGACATAAATTGTCGTAGATCCACATGATGAACGACTTGGGCTCGATTTATTGGTCATTTTTTTGCAATTTGTCATGTCAAAAGACAATTAAATTTTATCTTAAAGTAAATTCTGAGATACCCTGCCGCAAAAGCCATTTATTTCTATTTCAAAATGTGAACGTTTAAAAACAAGAAACAGATTGATGTAACTATGGTGCATGTGTTGTCGATAGATGATGTCAAACTATTTTATTCTGAAAAATATATCTTTATTTTTTACCCATTAGTTGTGTTTCAGTTGTAATTCGATGACCCATGGACTTGAACATCGTTTAGG